ATTTGTCCTGAAGAGAAGAGACTGATTAACTATCACCTTTCTCTATTTCTTCTCACTCTGTCTCTCTCCAGCAATAACACATCTTGTAGCAAAAATTAAAGAAAAAAAAGATGCTTTGGGAAAGAATACATATTGTATGTATCCCTCTTTTATTGGTATCATGGTCATAAGCATTTTTTTTTAAGGTTTTTGCCTTAGGGTGGGTACGCTCACTAGACAGAGATGACAGAGACAGTGAGAGGGAAAGTGAGAAATCACAATCCCTTGTCTTCCTTTCTCCTCTCAGGATTTTGGGCACACATGTACATGCATCCAGTGTGATTTTTCAAGCAGCTGGGTCTAGGACTTGAACTGTGGTTGACCATATGGAAGTCCAGTGCCTCAACCACCACACCACCTGCTGGCTTGTTTAGAAGCGTATTATAGGCTCTAAGAGGTATTGAAGTAAGGAAAATTTCGTGGATATATTTGATATATGACCGTGATTATAGATTTTTGCCATAGGGCGTGTGCACTTGTCAGAGAGAGAGGGAAAGTGGGAAACCACCTCCTCGCCCCCCCACCACCAGGTAGTATGGGCACACCACAATCCTTCTCCTCCCAGAATTTTGGGCACACATGCATATGTGTCCAGTGTGTTTTTCAAGTCACTCCGTCTGGAATTCAAACCGTGGAGTGGGCCATGTAGGATCCCAGCGCCTTAAGCCCCACACCACCTGCTGGCCCACCACCTTTTTTTTAAAAAAAAAAAAAAAGAAAATCATCCGATCTAATAAAAAAAGGAAATCATCTGATCTAATCTGTTTTTAGAGAAGAAGTGACACAACTAGTTTAAGGCAAACCTGGAGTTACACGATGGTCTTCAATTCACACTCGGTGTTCTTTCCATCATTATTAACAGCTGGCACAATAACTAATTTATACCTCGAATAACTGGAGGACTCCATTTCACACAGACATTAGCTGTTTATTAATAAAATGATTCTCAAGGCTTTTATTTGTCAAATCTCATTTACTAGAATTGGTAAACGTGTGAGTGCAACTGGTTGTGTATGAGTGCTGTATCATATCATATTGATGTCTTCTACTTCCAAGATCGAACGTTCTTCACGATCCAAAAGGAAAAGAAGAGACGCATTCGGGATGTTTGACGGCTATGATAGCTGCAGTGAGGACACAAGTAGCAGCTCCAGCTCTGAGGAGAGTGAAGAAGAAGTTGCTCCTTTACCTTCTAATCTCCCAATTATCAAAAACAATGGGCAGGTCTACACGTACCCAGATGGTAAATCTGGGATGGGTGAGTATGTATAGCCTTCACCCGTTGCATAACTTTGTTTGATTTATTCTATTCCCCTTCCTGAGGTTTTGTTTGTTTGTTTGTTTTTTGTTTTTTTAAGAATAACTTAATTTGGGGACCAGTATTTGGCATAATGGCTATGTCACTGGACTCCCAGGTAGTCGACCGCAGTTTGAGTCCTGGACCCTGTGGCTTAAACTCATGCCAGGCATGTGCGCATGCCTAAGTTCCCAAGAGAAGAATGTAGGAGAAGGGATTGTAGCATGGCCATCCCCCCAAGGGGTGATTTCTCACTTTCTATCCCTCTTTCTGTCTCTTGTCTTTCTGGCGCACGCACACACTCCATAGCAAAAACCTCTCCAAAGAAAAAAAGAATTACTTCGTTTTATTTATTCATTTATTTATTTTTATTTGACCAGAGAGAGACACAGAGAAAGTGAGAAAGCAAGCCATCAGGTCTGACTCAAACCATGGTTGACCATGTGGGAATGAATGTCCAGCACCTTAACCACATCACCAGCTGCTGGTCCCCTGAGAAAGTTTTTAAGGACAGTTTCAACAGACTGAGTATGGATTTGATCTCTGTAGCCTACCTATTTCTGGTGGCAAGCAAGTAGAACAAAATAAGAAAACAAAAAGCTACTGTGGAAAACTTAATGTGGTTGTAAATTCAGTAATTAGATAAATTCCCATGTAACTGAAAGTGTGTCGTAGACTTAGAATTGAAAGAGACATTCCAGGAAAGGCTCCCTTTTCAGTGACAATACCCTAGGGCCACACAGTAATGCAGTGGTGATGCCACATGGAAAGGGTCCTGGGACCTCACAGGCAGGCATGCATGCCAGTGAGCCAGGCTAGCTGAGACTGGGAGTGGATTGTGGGGTACCTATCTCTCTCAGTCTTGTCTCTCTCTCTCATGGAAGAAATAAACAAACTTAGAAGCATGCCAGGCATGTGTGCATACATGCCCAAAATCCCAACAGGAGGGAGAAATGGAGGAGAAGGGGTATGGTATAAGTGTGTCCCATGGAGGGTGCTTTGTCTATTTCCTTATCTCTCTCTCTCTTCATGAACACACACACCACCTGGGGGAAAAAAGGTTTTTAATTTTCTGTTTCAATACTTCCAGTGGTAGGGTATTCTCTGAATGAGAAAGTAGTTTCATTTTTTAGTATTTCTCATTACTAGAATATTTTTCATATTGAATTGAAATTATCCTTGCTCCAACTTTTATCTTTTGGCCTTAATTTTGCTTTTGAGAATTATTTTATTTAATTTTATTTATCATTATTATTATTATTTTTTAATTTGACCAGAGAGAGAGAGAGAGAGGCAAAGTGAGAAAGCAAGCCACCAGGTCCAGGATTCAGACTGTGGTCAGCCATGTGGGAATCCAGTGCCTGAATCACCACGCCACCTGCTGGCCCCCTTAATTTTACTTTTTATTGCTGCACAGAATAATTCTAATCTTTGTCCTAATGACATCACTTCACACTAGAGCACTTAATTTCAGTGTATCCCTAAGGCACACCAAGGAGAACAGATCTTCAGCTATTTCTTACAGTATCACAATAATTTATCAATATCCCAGTTACTTTCTTCTAGGATACTTAGGATTATATGGTAGTAGGGTGACAACTTGTCCTACTTGCCTGTGACTGTCCTGTTTTACTGGTGAAAGTTACTCCTGGAAAACACTTCGAGCACATGGTTGATCACTCTTTGTGATTAGGGCAGAAAATAGTTCATGTTTTCTCTTTTTCAGGATACTATGTTTCTGTTCACGTCACCAAAATTGCTATAGCTTTTTGAAAATAATACTGAGTTTACAAATAACTAATGTTTTTTTGATCTTGACCATATAATCCAAACTACATTAAACCAGTCTTGTCCCCTTGGGATCACAGCTCTTTTTTTTTTCTAGTGTTTATTAGAGGGCATATGCACTCACAAGAGAAACAGAGAGAAAAAGTGAGAAATTACTCCTTTGGGTGGATGGCCACACAACAGTCCCTTCCCCTCCAGTCTCTTTGGATTTTTGAGCAAGCACACACATGCACCTGGCATGATTTTAAGCCACCAGGTTCAGGACTCACACCATATAGCCAGCCATGTGGGATCTAGTGCCTAACCTCCATGCCACCTACTGGCCCTGGGATTACAACTTTTTAATCTAGGTGATCACAGACCTTTTTATAGAATGTTCTGTAAAGTCTTCACAACAAAAAGCTATTTTCCCCCCATTAGGTACCCTTTGTTCATCTCTAACTTTATGGCACTCTTTTTTTCCATGATTTCTCACCAATCTGAAAATACTGGTTATACTTCACATCCCCAAGTTTAACTGTTTCGGTGGAAACTTTAACCCACTCAGGAATTGTTTGCTTCTGACTGTTTCTCTTTGTTCAACTTCAGTTCTTGTGAACTTGTTCTTACCACTCTGCCTTTCAGATTGTCATCTCTTGTGCCATAGTGGGGGACTCTGGTTCTTGCTGTCACTGATGAATAACAGAGCACCTGCCTCAGGCTTCAAGCCTTTCCCTTCCTTGCTGTCTCCTGAATATAGAACTTGAGGAATTCTCCTATCGTTCCTAGCAAGCCTTGCTTTCCAAGTGTTGCTACTTTTTTAAGTTTTGAACTTTGCAGTATTTTGAAGGCTTGTGCTGCACTGTTAGTCCTTGTCGTGCTGCACTTCCTCTTTTGTTTGCTGCTGTTTTTGTTTGTTTGTTTTGCTATGAGGCAGGCACTGGCCTGAAAGAGAGCACATGAGCACAAAAGTGAGAAATCACCCCCAGGGGATGGCCACACTGCAACCCAATCTCTCACTTTCCTCTTGGGATTTTAGGCATGTACACATGCCCAGTGTATTTTTCAAGCCACCAGATTTGGGGCTTAAACCATGTATTAGGTCAAGCGGGATCCAGCCACCTCCACCATCATGCCACCTGGCTGGCCCTCATCTTTTTCTTTCTAAGTCTTTTAGAATCTGGACCTCATTTAAAAATGCTTTTGGCATATGGTAAGCACTAAGAAAATGCTAGTCGAATCTGACTTTTATTCCTTTGTGTCTTTTGGACCTTTTTAAAGCATTTCAGATCTCAAGCATAGTCAGATCTTCTAGTGCCCCTCACCATGGCCTCTCTCTAACTTTTCTGTAGTATTCTCTTTCACTTGTATATGCGATAGAAAAAATCATGAAGGCAAATTCTTGTGTTTTCTTTTAATATGGCAATACAAAGTTCTCCTTTCTTCTTTCTTTCTTCCATGCATGACAGAGAAAGAGACAGCACCCTCAACAGGGTCTATGTGCCACAGTCAATCTCTAGCCTTTAGCCAGTCCCAGATCGTGGGCATACATGTGCCCAGCATACTCAGGGAGGACTCTGGACTTGAACTAGGAACCATCCCCTATTTTATTGCTGTACCTCTATCTGGGCCCCCAGAGTTTTTCAATTAAAATCTTAAGAGAGTTGAAGAAATTAAGCTGTTAGATGAAAATTGATTTTATTACATGATGATACACCAGTGTTTTAATTTTGTTAATTAGCTACCTGCGAGATGTGTGGGATGGTTGGTGTACGAGATGCTTTTTACTCTAAAACCAAGCGTTTCTGCAGCGTTTCATGTTCAAGAAGTTACTCATCAAACTCCAAGAAGGCAAGCATTTTGGCCAGACTTCAGGTAACGGTACAGAAACCTTCTTATTCCTAATTTCTGTTATTTCTATGGCTTTCCCCATTTATCTGTCATTTGACTGTGATTCACTGCACTCCACCTCTGCCCAATTGGCCAACTTACCATTTCATACCCCACATTTTTAGAAACTACTTGGGCCCCAAAGCTTGTTTGGTCTATAAAATTGAATAACTATTTAAAATGGACAGAACATACTAGTCAGAATAATCTATGAATTGTTTGTATAAGTGGATTAAAAATACTTCTTCCAAATACATATAATAAACACCTCTTTATATACAGAAATTTAAACCATTTTCTTTTTTCCCTGTTTCTTTTTGAGTTAACATCAAGATAACATCTTACAGCATTTAGGGGGAAATGGTTTACTCTCTCATTTTATTTTTCCATCATCCTTGCTTTGTACTCTCAAATACAACCCATTTGATACCTTGAACAAATGTACTTGGTTAATTCCACTAACTTTTTTGAAAACATTCATGGTATAGAAAAAAATTGTTTTTGTTTTAAGTGCATCTATGCCTACAAAATGGAGACTTGACTGTTTGATGAAGTTTCCATTGTAGCATATAAACAATCGTTCGAAGGCATTACATCACTGATTTTTTCATTTCTTTTACCGATGATCACAGTCTTCCTATCCTTATTTAACTTATTGTGATCGTTATGTAGCACTTAAATTCAGGGTTATTTAAATCCCCCAAATTAAGGAAATACATCACTTAGATGTATTTCTGTATTTCAGATAGACAGTACGTAAAGATCCTGAGCAGTGGTCTGTACCCAAATGGATGGCAGTTTGTCACACTGTGAATTTGGCCCATGATCATTTTGTCATTGATCTTTTGCGTTAGCACTAAAGGTATATAAACCTCAGTCCCTTGCTCTTTGAACATTAAATTATCTTTTCTTACCATGTAAATAGCAATGCTTGGCAGCCTGCATGAGTGAATAACCACTGGTTCTATCTACTAGAAGAAGGAATCAAGTATCCATCACAGCCTATATTTTAACATCTTAAAGGATATAATTTTTTATTAACATATTAATTTGCATATTGCTATTTTAGTCTATGCCAACTCTGCTACCCATTTTAGATATCTACACTGTAGCAGAACTCCAGAAAAATTCTCATGTTAAAATTCCTTGTATGTTTCCTCTGCTTTAATAATTTTCTAAACCCTTGATGTTTACTTAAGCAGAATAAGTGGTATGCAGTCAAGTTAAATGTCAGTGGTAAGGGGATGAAAAAGAACCCTATTTACTTAACTCTTCTTGTTTTAGGGTAAGCCTCCAACAAAGAAAGCAAAAGTTCTTCAGAAACAACCTTTAGTTGCTAAACTAGCTGCATATGCTCAGTATCAAGCTACCTTACAAAATCAAGCGAAGACGAAAGCAGGTAATACTGGCGAATGTAACATAAGTGAAATATTCAATATTGATTCACCTGATTTTAATCAATGACATTATAACTTGGGCGTTGTGTTTAAGCTGATTCTGTACTCTGTTAGCACATTATAACTTTAGGCTTCTTTTTCTTTTTTTTTTCTTTTTTTTTTTTTTTTGGAGAAGTTTTCGCTATAGGGCACGTGCACTTGCCAGACAGACAGAGAGAGACAGAGAGACAGAAAGCAAGAAATCACTCCCCCACACCCAGGGAGGATGGTCACGCCGCAATCCCTTCTCCTCTATTCTCCTCTCAGGATCTTGGGCATGCACGCACACGCGCCTGGCATGAGTTTTAAGCCACCGGGTCTGGGACGTGAACCACGGTCGACTACGTGGGAGTCCAGTGACATAGCCATTACACTAACTACTGGTTCCCTAAAAATCCTCTTGAAGGTGGTGGGTGGTGGGTGGGTACATGGTAGATAAATCACTGAAATACACAGTAAGAGGTGAGTGGGAATAAAAACAGAAGCAGCTGCAGCAGGGTTCATTATGTTGGACATTCTCTATACTTCCCCTACCTGGACAGCTTGCACTTCACTTCCCACAGAGCATGTGTTGTGTAGAGTAGACTTAAACTGCTAGTTACTTGCTGATGTGAAATGAGCCAAAGCTGATACTACTTAGAGAAGTTCTTTGATCTTTATAGAAAAGAAAACCTTAAATTTTCTTTAACTTTTCTGTCCTTTCACTTTTTAATGATGGCCTTCTTATAAATAAGAGCTGAGGATTGTAATATATCTCAATGTATTTTTGTTGCAGCAGTCTCCATGGAAGGTTTCAGCTGGGGTAACTACATCAATAGCAATAGCTTTATAGCCGCTCCAGTTACCTGTTTCAAACATGTGAGTATAGCATTTTTTACCTTATTTTAAAATGCTTAGTTATTTCAATCTGAAAGTACAGTAACAGCTAAATATATTATCCTTAGAAGGTGTTTGTTTTTTATATCTTATCATGGAAATGTGTCTCATTAATAATTATACTTACTAACAGCTCAAAGTAAATTCTGTAAGTTTTACAAGTAAAAGTTTCCTGTAAAGAAATGCAGTTTGAAATTATTTTAAACAGGAGAAAGTACTAGTCTCATTTAATTTTTGTATCAAGTTGAACCATTTAAAATTGCTGGTTTTGTATTTCAAAAATAGGGGTTGTCAAAAAGTCATAATGTATTTTTCTGTGCAAAAATGCATCATGACTTTTCCAGTGACCCAGTAAGTTACATGTTGACAATGTCATATGGTTCAGAAACCTAATAGAAAATACCCATCACATATATTACCTAAGCCCTTGTAATTTTACCTGATAATTAAGAAAAGGGTCTCCCTTCAAGTTTTGTTTCTCTCTTCACATGTAAAATCACAGAAGAAGGAACTGGTAATAATGTAGGATTGTGGGCTGAAATATGTGATATATATCATAGGAGACACTTTAAAACATGTTCTTTTCAGGAAATAGGTTGTTACAGAGCATTGAATTATGTTTTTAAAAATGTCTGATCACAGGTTATGCTTCTTTCTATTTCATTGCTTTTGAATGGATTATGTGATTGATTTTCTCCACGATGTGTTTTTAAACCTAACTAGAACTTTAATTTGTATTTGAAGATTTAGTCTCAGTCTCATAGCACAGCAGTTATGTGCTGTGCAGAGACTCCGATCCCACGTGGCTAACCATGGTTCAAGTCCTAGCCCCAGCAGCTTGAAAAACACATTGGGCATGTATGTGTGAATGCCCAAATCCTGACAGACTGGAGAAATTAGAGGAAAAACGATTGTGGTGTGACCACACCCCATTGGGGTACACACATTCCCTCACTCATACTTTCTCTATGGTGAGCACATGTGCCCACTTTATTTGCTGTTAAAAACAGAAAAAAAGAATTTGCTTTCTACTGTCTGTATATAAGAAGAAAAGAGAATTTAGGAAATAATGAAGTTTCATTTATATTCAAAATTTTGGTAAGAAGAAAAGAGAATTTAGGAAATAATGAAATTTCATTTATATTCAAAATTTTGGAAACTTCGGGCTTTATCTTTAAGTAATAGCATTAAGCTAAACCGAGCTTGGGTGCATTCTGTAGGAATCCATATGAAGTTTTACCCATTCTTGACCATTAAAGCATTTTGATCAAAGACGAGCATATTCATTCAATGGGAGATATATAAATTAAAGTTCAGTTCATTAATTTGCTAGTTTTCTTTTTGATAGTACAAGTATTGGGGCCAGCAGGTGGCATGGTGGTTGGAGTGCTGGACTCTCAGATGGCCAGTTGCAGTTCAAGTCCCAGACCTGGTGGCTTGCTTTCTCATTTTCCCTCTCTCACTTTCTCTCTAGTGAAATTTTTTTTAAAATAATAGTAAATTGGGAACCAGCAGTTGGCGTAATGGCTATGTAACTGGACTCCCACATAGTCGACCGCAGTTCGCGTCCTGGACCCAGTGGCTAAAAACACACGCCGGGCGCGTGTGCGTGCATGCCCAAGATCCTGAGAGGAGAATGGAGGAGAAGGGATTGCAGCGTGACCATCCCCCCTGGGGGGTGATTTCTCACTTTCTGTCTCTATGTCTCTCTCTGTCTGTCTGGCGAGTGCATGCGCCCTATAGCGAAAATCTCTTCAAAAAAAGAAAATAATAGTAAATTAAATAACTTTAAAAATTAAAAAAATACAGATGTTAAGTTCCTAGTTGATGACTAGTTAAACCAACCCAACTATTTCAGATACTTTTCTCAGTATGGTAAAGTAAGTGATTTTTGCCATAATACTATTAGAGCCATATTTGTGAGATATATTACATACATGGCTACAGCAAATTTTTAACTCTCCTTCAGGACATTACGTTTTTGTGTGTGTGTTTTTAACGTGTGTATAAGGCACATACACTCACTAGAGAGAGACAGAGACAGAGAAAGTGAGAAATCACCTCCCATGGGGGAGGGGAGCACACAGCAGCCCCTTCTACATTCTTCTCTCAGGATTTTTTGAGCACACATGAATGCTCCCAGCATGATTTTCAAACCACTTGGTCTAGGATCCCAACTATGAAGTTGGCCATGTGGGATCCAGCCGCCTTAAGCGCCACGCCATCTGCTGGCCCAGCATATTGCTTTTTCTTTTTCTTTGATTCAGTGCCTCGGCCCATGTACATGTACAAGAGAGAGAAAAAGCATCCCCATCAAGGCCTAGTCACCCCACAGTCCTTTTCCTCCACTTCTCTATTCCATCAGAATCCTGAGCACTCACGTGCATGCCCAGCGTGTTGCCACCAGGACTGGGATTCAGCCCAGTTGGGTGTGGAGGGTTTAGCCTCCTCTGCATTGCAGGTAACTGCTCTGCTATGGCTGGTCCAGGATAATCCTTTCTGATGCAGAGTTGCTCAAAATTAGATTTAGTTCTCAGTTACAGTAACTCTTCCATCTTGGTTTCCTGGAACATCTGTGTGCTGTCCCCTTCTGAATGGCCTTTATCTCCCTTTGTATCTGTTTTTTGTTTTAGTACTATAAACTGTGTCAAGGTATTTTAGATAAGTAGGATATTTTTAAAATGATGTTTCAGAGTTCCAGGCGCATATTTATTCCTGTTCATATCTCTGAATAGTTATATATTAAAGTTCTTTGTAAGAAAATCTGTCGTTATAACAAAATTGATTTTGTTTCCAACTTTCTTTGTTAAGATTAAAATACAGTATCATACACAATACAGCAGCTTATCCTTAGCCACATTATTAATAACGATGACGTGGAGCCTTCTCTTCCTCACTCAGAAGTGAGGTATCCGTCTCACAGTTGCACAGACTCAGTGCCTTCCTGTTCCACTTAACCTTTCTTTACTGCCTTCTTACCAAACAGGGAAAATCTTCTACTGGTAATTCCTTAGTGTGTTTTTATATGGAAAGCTTGCTTCACTATCTAACCAGCATCTTTGTTTGAAGCCATTTGGTTTAGGAGGTCAGACTTAATGCTGAACTTGATTTTGTCCTTTAGAGTTGACTCTTCATGATATTCCTTCCTGAGATAGTTATCTCGGTCTCTAAAGAGAGTTAGTGGATTTGGCTGTAGAAAACCTGTTACTGGAAGTTGCTGAGAGCACAGGACCCTGCCTTGTGTCACCAGAGTCTTCTAACACTTGATGCCTTCTCTAGCACTCGTTTCATAAGGGCCCCTTTCTCCAGACTTAGATCTGCCTTCTTTCCCACTTCAGCACAGGTTGGAAGCCTTTCTGTGCTCCTAGGAGATTCTTTTTCAAATAGAATTAAAAAAGAAAAAGAACACCCAGGTGTAACATGGAAGCAGAGGAGTTGAGGCGAGAGCAGTATTGGCCTTGCCTGCCTAGTTTTTATAACCCCTTTGATGTCTTTTCCTAGAATAAGAACCCCAAATAAACATGGCCTACTTTCTGGCACTTAGATCTTGTTGTGATCAGTTCTAAAAAAAATCATACCGTTTCAAGACTAGAATTCTTCATGGTCTGTCTTTAAATTTCTGGGAATGAAGTTTCTGCAAAGTACATTGGAGGACTCTTACCTACTCTGATCATTGCTCTAACTATACATAGTGGTTTATGCTCAGTCACTCAGGTACAGTGGTGTCTGACAATATTTTAAAATCAGCCATGGAAATCAAGCCCCAGTCATTTAATATATCTGCTTCTTAGAAATTTGTGTGTTATGACTTCCATATAACTGATCTACCTTTCACTTTAAGTGGTTGTTTTTAGATCTTCTATTTAAACATCAGAATTTCTTCTTTTTCCTAATGAAATATTACTCAGAACATGACCAAAATGAGAGGAAGCCACATTGATTGGGCAGATCTGGCAGGGGATAGGGCAATACTGTCAGAGTCTTGGCCTTGACCATTGGTTGTCCTTTCTTTGGTAGCCCCTGAGGTCAGAATCAACTGAATTTGGACTGACCCCACCACCACCCCTTTTTCCCTTAGATTTTTGCCGTAGTGTACATGTGTTTTCCAGAGAGAAACAGAGAGAGGGAAAGTCAAAAATAACACCCAGGGGAAATGGATTATGCCACAGTCCCTTCTCCATTCTCCTCTTGATTTTGAGCACATGTACATACGCGTCCAAAATGATTCTCAAGCCTCCAAGCCCAAGACTAGAACCTGTGGTTGGGCATGCGGGTTTCCAGCATCTTAACCACCACACCATGACATGATGGCCCTAGGAATGCCACTTTTAATTAATTATAAATCATATATGGTCACAAAGCCATAAGACATCTTTAAAATCCTCTCATTTGGGCTGGCAGGTGGCATGGTAGTTAAGGCTCTGGACTCCCACATGGACTGAGGTTTGAATCTGGGACCTGGTAGTTCGCTTTCTCACTTTCCCTCTCCCTCTCTCGCTCTTGCCCTGTCTCTCTCTGGTCAGGTTAAAAAATAATAATGATGATAGGTGAAAGTAAATAATATTTTTAATCTTCTAGTTTATTTAGTCCATCTCTTTTTTTTATATATATTTTTAAAAATTTTTTTAGAAGTTTTGCTATAGGGCATGTGAGCTTACCACAGAGATAGACAGAAAGTGAGAAATCATCCCCCAGGAGTGATGGCCACACCACAGTCCCTTCTCCTCCATTCCCTTCTCAGGACTTCAGGCGTGCACATGCACCTGGCATGAGGTTTTGTTTTTTAGAATGTTTTTTATTGAATTTTGTTTTATTTATTTATTTTAATTTGTGTTGAACTTTGTTTTATTTGTTTTAATTTGATCAGAGAGGGACAGAGAAAGAAAAAGAGAAAGTGAAAAGGCAAACCCACCAGGTCTGGGACTCTCTGTGGTCAGCCATGTGGGAGTCCAGCACTCTTAACCACCACGCCACCTACCAGC